GCCCACACGCTCCCCGCTTGACCCCAGCGCTTGGGCCTCAGCTGAAAATGGGAACGAACACAGATCTGTCTGCCCCTCCTGCCCGCCCCCGGCCCCCCAGCCCCACTCAAACGCGTGGCATCTGTTACGGATTCAAAGAGCCGCTGTGGCAGCTCCGTGCAGCCAGGCTCGGGGCCGCACAGGTACCCGTGCCGTGCCCTGTCTCTCCGGGGATGCAGGAGCTGGCAGCCATCCCGCCTGCAGCCCGGCAGCATCGAGCCCTGTGGAACCAAGGATCACCGTGGACCCAGCACGAAATCCACACCAGGGCCAGCACCCGTCCCGCGGAGACGCAGCTGCTGGTTCCAAAATAATCTTGACCGCCGGCTTTCGGCACCCTCTTCCGTGCTCAGGCTCAGCTCTACCCCCTCCGTCACCCCCCCTCTTATTTATAGCCTGGCAGGAGAGTGGGGCACCGCAGCCCTGCGACCAGCTGCCCTCCCCACGTCCCACAGCCGCAAGACGCACAGCACGAGGCACCACCGAGTTAAAAACGCTTTTAATGGCCACGTTTGCTTTGGTCTGAATCCAAGGGCACTTGTGACAAGGCAACTCGGAGCCCCCGGGGCGCGTGTGGCCCCTGGGCTTCGCAGCTGGGGAGATGCAGGGGACTGCAGGGACCTGCCTGGGCACAGAGCAGCAGAAGGCAGCAGGATGAGGGAGCCCAGACCCGGCTCCCTGCCACCCACACCCAGCGCCGGGTCTCAGGGCACGAGTGGGCCAAGGACCGCGGTGGAGCTTCATCCCCGGGAGAGGCACCAGCTCATGGCCCTGGCGGGGCTGAGCTCTCCCGCCCCGTGTCACGCTGGAGCCCAGCAGCGTGAATGTTTAATCCCGCATTAAATATTCATCCCAGGAGAGTGGGCGGAAAACCTTCGTGGTCACCCTGGGTCCATCCAGGCAGGCGCTCGGATGGAGCCGATGGGGCTCCGTGGGTCCAGCTCATGCCACCCGTGCACTGACATGGGGGGTCCCAGCCCACCCACTGGCTGGGGGAAGCAGCCCTGCTGCTGCGGAGACGGAGACTCCCTGCTCCAAAAGGCTTTCAGCCGTGGCATCGGCAGAGCCGAGACACATCGTTGCAGGATGAGAGCCGCCCCGCTGCCAGGGTCCCCGCCACCTCACCCCTTGGCTGGCACCCTACCCGCCTTCCCAGGATGGGTGGGTGAAGACAATGTTCCTCCTCTTGGCCCAGCGGGAGAAGATGGCTTTCTCGGTGATGAAGCGGTGCCCGGCGCGGCGGGCTTGCTCATGCATCAGGTACATCCTGCACTCATCCAGCCGGCCCTTCTCGAAGTAGTGGTAGGGCACGCTCGTGTGGTTCTTCTCCCTGGCAGGAGGGGACAGGGTGGGCGTGGGACCTGGGGGGACACCAGACCACCCTGCGCCTGCCCCCACCGCCCCCCACGCACCTGCAGTAGCTGTCGCTGACCATGCCGAAGACGCAGATCTGCTCGCACAGCTCCATGGCCAGGATCATGGTGAACCAGCCCGTGCTCAGGAAGGAGCCGGACTTCATCCTGCAAAGCACCGCGGTCGCGCTGGAGCGGGTGGCACGGTGCTGCCGTCCCAGCTGGGCTATGGGTGCCCGACAGAGGGGACAGGTGCTACGGCAGGGGCACCTGCCGGGGGCTCCTCAGGAGCCGGCGGTACCTGTTCTTCCCTGTCTCGTTCTGGAAGACGTCGTCGCAATACGTCATCTTCTCCTCTGTCAGGGTGTAGATCTGCAGGTGGGGGTACGTCTCCATCACCTTCAGCAGCGCCTGGTAGGTCAAGCCCACCTTCTCCCGGTTCATCTTCTTCGCTGGCCCCCAGATGATGTAGAGGGTCTCCTGGGACTGCTGGAAGAAGTAGGGCTGGTTCCTCAGCAGCAGTGGGACGCTGGTGTGCGACACCACCCGGACGGTGCTCCGCGCCCCCACGTCCTCCTCGTAGCCGGCGGTGGGGGCATGGTTCATGCGCAGGACGCACTCCTGCCTGTCGATGGCCTGTCCCAGGCGTGAGCCCAGCATCTGCCCTGAGCTGGAGACAACGGCGCAGCGGCGGCACAGTGCTCGCTCCAGTGGCTGTAGGGAGAAGCACTGTCAGCCACCGGCTCC